AGTTGCCCCTCTGTCTGTGGCGTTACTTGGTGTTTGGGTGCATTGTACATCCTGACATAAGCAGATTACCCCATGTTATAATAATAGGAAGGTCTAGACCTTACTTTGTAAAGTGTCCTGATAACTTCTGTGATTTGGTGCTATGCAAATAAAATTGGATTTGTCTCCTCAGGTCCAAGCGTGAGACCGAGGTGGCACAGCTTAAAAAGACTCTGGAAGAGGAGGCCAAAGTCCACGAGTTGCAGCTGGTTGAGATGAGACAGAAGCATAGTCAGGCCTTTGACGAGCTCAATGAGCAGCTGGAGCAGGCTAAGAGGGTACCTGGGATCTTTACCACAGCATCTGTCAACTGTTTTTCCAATTTCTTAGTTTATTCTTAAATGGCAGAGACTAATTGTCTGCAACCTTCCCTGCAGAACAAAGTGTCGATGGAGAAGGCCAAGCAGGCTCTGGAGTCCGAGAGGAACGAGCTCACTATTGAGCTGCAGACTCTGATGCAGGGGAAAGGAGACTCAGAGCATCGCAGGAAAAAGGCTGAAGCTCAGCTCCAGGAGCTACAGCTCAAATACACAGAAAGCGAACGCCAGAGGGTGGAGCTCTCTGAGAAACTGACCAAAGTGCAGGTGCGCTCTGAAAAACCAAGAGGTTTCTCATTGTGTCAGGCCTTGTGCTTCTGCTGCTCTGTTTGTTCTCCTAATTCCATCTGTGGCCAAACGACCATCACCTAAATTTAAAGTTTTGACTCTTTTATGCAGTGTAACTGTAGGCTTCACCACAAACTGAACACTAAGTGGTAACATATGTCATCTGGTTTGTCCACAGGCTGAGCTGGAGAATGTCAGCACCGTTTTGAGTGATATAGAGAGCAAGTCCATCAAAGCAACCAAAGACTGCTCCGCTGTGGAGTCCCAGCTGCAGGATGTTCAGGTACACAGCAGTCTCCTGTGTGCTCTGAGAGAACCAGAGCATTTTATAGACGAGACGTGATAACTGTGTGTGCGTCCTGAAGACGTGGCTGTTTTCAGTGAACACACTCCCATACATTAGAGCATCTGTACCAAAGCTCGATCAGACGTGGTCAGAGGAAGCAGAACAGTTTTACTGTAATATTGGAGACTAAAGCCTTTTTATTATTTCATTTTAAAGACGTACTCGGGTCTCTGCTGAAGAGATTTCTGTGACTTCTTAGATAAAACTGAACTCACATGAAGGCAAAATCTGTCTACTAGGGTCAAACTGCACAAACATCCAGTTCAACTAACAAAATACTGAGCAGGAATTTTGTCAGTCATTTAAAAAATGTGGCAGATGAGTTAAACAGACTGGTAAAATGTTATTAAAATCTTGTGCTTCAGTCACTGCATCTTACAAACATCTGGTAAAGGGATCAGACATCGTGATATTTCTCATTCAGCTTTTCATGTCCATGTTTACAACAGGAGCTCCTCCAGGAGGAGACACGGCAGAAACTGGCGCAGAGCACGCGCCTGCGCCAGCTGGAGGAGGAACAGCACAACCTGAGAGAGCAGCTGGAGGAAGAAGAGGAAGCCAAGAAGAATGTGGAGAAGCAGCTTCAGGCGGTGCAGGCTCAGGTAAAACATGCCAACATCTCCTTCAGGTTGTCTTACAGCTGAAATTTAGAAACTTGCACCGCCTGTTAACGCTCAATGTGCCAGTCAGTTCAACTACTGCTGCCTCATCTGGGATCGTTTCCGTAGCACACAGTACTGAACATTGACACCACCTCTCTCTGAACAGCTTGCTGAAATGAAGAAGAAGGTGGAGCAGGACGCCAGCTGTTTGGAGAGTGCGGAGGAGGGAAAAAAGAGGTTTCAAAGGGACCTGGAGGCAACAAACCTGCGCCTGGAGGAGAAATGTACTGCCTACGAGAAGCTGGACAAAACCAAGACACGTCTCCAGCAGGAGCTGGACGACCTGCTGGTAGACCAGGACCACCTCCGGCAGATTGTCTCCAACTGGGAGAAGAAGCAGAAGAAGTTTGACCAGGTGAGATGGTGTGTGTGTGTGAGAGAGAGAGAGGTGTTAGTATAAATGTTTGGTGGTTCGATCAGCCTTCATCAGAGCGTCACAAACACTGAACACTTTGCTGATTCTGTCTAGATGCTGGCGGAGGAGAAGACCATCTCCACCCGCTACGCAGAGGAGCGTGACCGAGCTGAAGCTGAAGCTCGTGAGAAAGAGACCCGGGCTCTGGCTTTAACCCGTGAGCTGGAGTCTCTGAGGGACATCAAGGAAGAACTGGACCGTAACAGCAAAATGCTGCGGGCTGAGATGGAGGACCTGGTCTCCTCCAAGGATGACGTTGGCAAGAGTGTGAGTCTTGGTGTCCAGACGTTTGTGTGCTTGTGTCACCTTTTCATAGTGTCCTCATCACAAATGCTGCTCACATCCCGCAGGTCCACGAGCTGGAGAAGGCCAAGCGTGCAATGGAGCAGCAGCTGGAGGAGATGAAGACTCAGCTGGAGGAGCTGGAGGATGAGCTGCAGGCCACCGAGGACGCCAAGCTGCGCCTGGAGGTCAACATGCAGGCCATGAAGGCCCAGTACGAGAGAGACCTGGCAGGACGTGATGAGATGGGCGAGGAGAAGAAAAGAGCACTGGTCAAACAGGTAGACTTGTGTGTGTTAACTGTGGGAGCATACAGGGGGTAGCTCCTGGATTGGAATGTGGCTGAAACCATGTGTGTCCTTCAGGTGCGGGAGATGGAGAATGAGCTGGAGGATGAGAGGAAGCAGCGTTCTGCCGCTGTGGCCGCACGCAAGAAGCTGGAGCTGGACCTGAAGGAGCTGGAGGCCGGCATTGACATGGCCAACAAGAACCGCGACGAGGCCCTGAAGCAACTGAAGAAACTCCAAGTGAGTCGCTGTTGAAATCTCTCCAGTACAACAGTTTGCTCCCAGTGGCCTCTCACTCAGTCTCGCTCTTGTTCCGTCCTCAGGCCCAGTTGAAGGATCTTATCCGGGAGCTGGACGACACTCGCATGTCCAGGGAGGAGATCCTTGCCCAGAGCAAAGAGACTGAGAAGAAGCTGAAGGGCATGGAGGCCGACATGCTCCAGATGCAGGAGGTCGGCATGTTGCACCTTTGATTTCCTCTTTTGTACCCCTTCTTCTTCTTCTCCTCATCAACAGTCCTCTTTTTGCCACTTAAATTCTGCACGTGGTTTATTTGTCTTGCACATGTAAACCTGCTGATTGGCCCTGTGCAGGAGGTGGCAGCTGCAGAGCGAGTGAAGCGACAGGCCCTGCAGGAGAGAGACGAGCTGCAGGATGAGATTAATAACCAGGCTAGCAAGAAGTAAGACGCCAGTGTCCAGTGAAATGAGCTGTGTGGTGTGCCTCACCCGTTATTCACCTCTGACTGGTCTCCTCTCCCTTCCACCCTCGTTCAGTGCTCAGATTGCAGAGGAGAGAAGGCGCCTGGAGGCTCGTATTGCTCAGCTGGAGGAGGAGCTGGAGGAGGAGCAGTGCAACACCGAGCTGATCAACGACAGGCTGAAGAAAGCAATGCTGCAGGTCTGTAGGCTGGCCTCGTGCATTCTGTCAGTACTAGGGTTGAGCTTTGAGTACGTAAGCCACAGTTGAAGTGTTGACCAGTACATGCCCCACTTGTGTAGACTGACCAGATGAATGTGGAGCTGACAGCGGAGCGCAGCACCTCTCAGCGGGTAGAGGGGGCTCGGGCTCAGATGGAGCGACAGAACAAGGAGCTGAAACTGAAGCTGCAGGAGCTGGAGGGAACAGTCAAGTCCAAGTACAAGGCCAACATGGCTGCCCTGGAGGCCAAGATCGCTCAGCTGGAGGAACAGCTGGACATGGAGAGCAGGTAGATGCTTCAGCCACAGATGTGACACTATAGACACTCAACACTAGAGTTGTCATGTTGGGACCTTAACTCTCACAGGGGCCGTTCCTTTGCACTTTGAGTACTTGACTATGTAACTGACACTTTGCCAGTAACGCTGATCTTCTTTTACTTCATTGCTGGCCTTGAACTTGTCAACGAGCAGCTTTGTTCCAAACGCTTCCTCCTCCACCACAGCAGTGTGTTAACCTGTGTTCTGTGCTCTTCCCACAGGGAGAGGCAGGCCGCCACCAAGCTTGTGAGACGCACAGAGAAGAAGCTGAAGGAAGTCATCCTGCAGGTGGACGACGAGAGACGCAACACAGAGCAGTACAAGGACCAGGTCAGAGGTTTCTCAGGCTCTCCTGAGGATGGTCAGTGTTGTGGTGATGTACAGCTTCATCAGTACTTTCTAAAAGCCTGGTAACTCTTGGTATGATTTAAGTGAAATGTTAAGGTGCCAAAACAAGCCTGATAGTTGATTTACAGGCACTGTCAGGTAAAATATTAGGCAGCTCAGCAGGGATTAACCTGGGGCAGAGCTCAGCTCTGTCTCTTCAGCATCACAATGTCGTGCTGCCTCACAGCGACCAAACCAAGGTCGTCTGTAGCTCCTGTCTGACTTGATTAAATCTCTGGCCATCGGACAGGATCAGTACAGGTGACGCTGTGGCTCAGCAGCTGTAATATCCTACTGTAATCTTATTAAGACAGATGCTACCAGGTCAGAGCCCCTTCCCCCAGTGAAACACGGCGGCTGTGTTCAGGTCCAGTCAGCACCATCGGAGCTGAAGTCCACATATTGTTTCCTCTGGAGAGTCACTAGGTTTTTGACCTCTTCTGTTTAAAAGCAGTAATATCTGCAGCTTTACAAGCATGAAACTGATCGACTCACTGAAGGAAATCAAATGAATCATGAAAACAGTCTGAGCTGGGCCTGTAAGCTACTGTAAATGGTGGCGTTGCCTCAGTGTTGTTCACTGTTTGAACTATGACCCTGATCAGTGTAGCCTAACAGACATCGGTACCTTTCTGCACACCTAACTCGATCTGTGTTGAATTCTTAGGCTGACAAGCTCAACTCCCGCATCAAGCAGCTGAAGCGTTCGCTGGAGGAGGCTGAGGAGGAGGCTCAGAGAGCAAACGCCAACCGAAGGAAACTGCAGAGGGAGCTGGAGGACGCCACTGAGTCGGCAGACGCCATGAATCGTGAAGTCAACACCCTCAAGAGCAAACTCAGGTGTGCAAAGGAAATACTGGTTATAGTTAACCATATATGTACCTGACACAATAAGTGGTTTTCTTATTTTTATTGAAATCAAACTTTTAGATGAGAAACGAATTGTGTGGTTCAAATTTGCTCATCTTTCTTTTTCTGCCTTCATGTGAAAATCGTCAAAATGGACCCGATTAGCAAATAACGAATCCTCAGACCTAAAACTTCCAATTTCATACAAATTGGGTTTTTTTTAGTTTTCTTTCCTTTTGTATAAAAGGACGAAGGGGAAAATTACGTGTTTAGCATTTTTACTTTTTAATTTGAAAATCAAATTTAGCAGGTTTCATTTTTCTGATGTGGTAGTTTGAAATCCAACCAGCAGGGGCACTGATCAATCAGCTGATCATCGTCCTGATGATCTGATTGACCTGTTTGTCCCCAGAATGTCAGACACTGGGATAAAGTCCCACAGTGACTCTCCAGAGCATCTTCACATGTCTGTGTCCAACCCACAGATCCACAGAGACTCAGCTGATTCTCATGTCTGACAAAGAAAAGCATCAGCTCCTCACATTAAAGAAGGTGGAACCAGAACATGTCGGTGACTGTTGCTTCTAAATAGCTGAGGTTCATTTTCTACCAGTGAACGACACAGTGGGTCGGACAAAGAGAGGGGATCTGGTTTGGAAGGAGGAGGCGTCCTCCCTCAGACAGAGACCTGACCATTCTCTGGAGACTCGGCCCTGACGGGTGGTGGTCTATCCCGTTAGTTGTCCCCAGTCGGGGGACGGACAGTAAATGAGACATCGCTGTTTGACGGTGACTCATTCTTTGTTCTCTTTTCTAGGCGTGGCGACCTCCCCTTCCCCATACGCCGTGCTGTTCCCCGCGTTGGCATAGAGAGCGACGAGGAGAGCGAGGCCAAGACCCCGACTGAGACTCCCGAGCCCAAGCCTGAATGAACATCCGCAGTGCTGCTCGACTCCACAGAACCACATCACAACACAGACCCACAAACACATGAGCACACATCACTGTAGCTGCTGAACAGCGTCTCCTCGTGTTTAGTCACGTCGCAGTCTCACTGACAATCTATGCATTCTTAACACACACACACACACACACAGATGCCAGTAAACTCGGACAATCACCACGCTGACACACACACACACACACACACACACACACACATGTAGGTTATTTTGGGGCCAAATTGTTCTTTTGCTTCATCTTTCATTCTTTTGGAAAAATAAAAAAAAAATATTTTTGTAAGGAAACATTCCAGCCCTGCATTTTTCTAATCGAGGCCAGAAATCAAAGAAACATAAATGAAGAGTGATTTCTGGAGGAGGACCAAAGTAATATCAGTCTGTAGAACTGTATTTTATGCTGAAGTTTTTATAACGTTAAAAATGGAAGTGCTTCATGTTTATTATGCTCTCGCCTCAGTTTATATAATGAAGGTTTATATGCTGAAACGTATTCTGTCAGTGTAGCTGCAGTTAGCACTTGAGACTATGCTTTGGCCTTAAGAACATGACACACACACACACACACACACACACAGTTCATGTGGAAACAATTGGAGCCAGATGTCAAGTAACAATTGGAGACTGTCGACATGAAGGCAGTCTATTTGTGACTGTGCTGGAATTTATTAATTATGCACTGAGATGAATAAAACACACTTTAGCCTAGACATTACAAACCACTGCCACACTGACAGACAACGGAGCCCGTGCACGGACGCCAACACACACTAAGGCCTTAAATGCAGCTGCATTCTACTGGGTAGGGTTGTCGGCTTCTTTCTGGACACACATTGATCTTTGTGCTTATCACTATCAGTGGTTTTGTTTGTTCAGGGTGGTGGGCTACTTGGTTACTCACAGGACACACTGTATTCTCGGGGCACAGTTTGCTGAGGCGGTGACAAACCAAAGGCGATTCGTCGCCGTTACCTGTGTGCGGGGGTTGGGCCCCTCGCAGGCTGTGCTCAGGGCGGCTTCTGCTCATACTGCTGGCAAGTGAGAGGAAAATGTTGGCTCACATTGGAATCCATCCTGTCTCTCACACTTTGAAACAAACAAAATCCAAATCAAGAAAATAAACTGAATCTACTTAATTCTGTCATGTTTGTCTGTCTGCACCTCTGCA